GGCCAAGGCAATGGATACGATATATATGTTGCAATCTACAACAAAACGAACGTATTTGAATTGGTTGTGTTGTTGTCTTTTTGAAGAAGTGAATGAAGAATAGGAGAGAAGGCGCTGAAAAATACAACGAAAGAGAAATAACCAACGAATTCTTTGCTCGTGCAACAAAACGAAAGACAACAGAAAACTTAGCAAAGCCGGCAAAAAACCGAGAATAATATGGCATTCTGTGTAAAAGACGCAACAACAATAACTACATTGGTTATGCACCAATACACGAATCTATCAGCACACTACAATAAAAACGCGCGCTCAGTCCCTAACAGTAGTATGAAATTGTAGGTTTCATCCACGTTTCTTAGTATTAGTGCACACACACACACACACTCTCTCTCTCTCTCTCTCTCTCTCTCTCTCTCTCTCTCTTTTCTTCTCATATGAGTAAAAGAACTTCAAACATGTTCATTCAAGCAAGAGAAGTAAAAAAATACATCCGAATGCCATGCACATGCACAATCAGTTGCAACTAAAAAAAAAATTGAAATTTGCTTTTTCGTTTGCTGGAGCTGAGTATGAAAACGAGAAAAGATCTCTCTCTCTCTCTCTCTCTCTGTCACTAGTTCTATGTGAGTGATCAACAGCTCTGCTTACCATACTCAAAGAAGACGTCAATTGTAATATTTGCGAACTCTGGTGGTGATTTACTAAATTACCACCATTACAATGTGTGGCATGGTCATTTTTGTATGTATTGTATTTACTTTGCTGAGCAATATTACTATCGCTCAACGCAGTGTTGGTGGTAATACTGTACAGCGCTGTCACAGCAAAGCAAATACAATACATACAAAAATCACCATGTCGCACATTGTAATGGTGGTAATTTAGTAAATTACTACCAAAGTTCACAAATATTACAATTGACGCCTTCTGTGAGTATATTTTAAATGGGCAACTGTTTCTGTGTGCAGCAACGAATGAGAGAAACTCAACAGAACCGATAAGAATTACAATGAAACTCTTTTGCATGACATGAAAAAGTATAGTAATTATAACATTTCATTTACAACTGAATTGAAATGCATAGGAAACATGTAAAAGGTGATATTGCTTTAACTTATTAAGCTATCAAAATGAAATGAAATGAAAAACATTCAAAAAGGCAACGTTCGATGATTTTCTAGATATTTTATTGGTTAAATCAACAAAACAATCAGAAGCTGAGTGAATCATTACCAATCCAACAAAATGGTTTTTCGTTTGGTTTTCGATTCAATTTGAAAAAGTTTCCAATGAATTGCAGAAAAAATTGTTGAAAAAACAATATCAAAATGAACCACATGTGCAACGGCGAATTCGATCCCAAAGATCATTGACTTGACCTGATAACTCATTATTCAGATCCCATAAATTAGCAATTTGTGTATCGCGGTCACGCACAATTTGTTCCAATTCAAGTACTCGATTTTCCAGTTGATTTTGGGAATGATTCGCATCAGGTGTAGCGGGTGTGAAATTATTGAAGTTGCGAAAGTTTCGGAGATGGAAAAACGTTTGGCATTGATTTGCATTGGAAAGTTTTTCAAGTTTTTCCCAGCACTCACCGACGCCGCAGTAGATGCACAGCTCGATTTATGCAAAGATGAAAACATTCAAATTCGTCGTCATGCCATTCGGAATTTGCCGCTTTTATTCGAAGACACAAAGACACACATCTCGAGAATTTGTACCTTTCTAAAACAATTAGTGGTTTCTGATCCTATGGAACGGGCCGAAGTTAATGTTGCAACGCTAAAAATTCTCAGATTCGATGAAAGCGCTTCTATGGTCATTGTAAGTAGTTATATACCTACTATAGGCTTGCTTGATTATATTAAAATTGAGAGAATCTTTCGTTTCTTCGAAAAAATGTTTCGTTCGTGTTTCGTTTGAAAATACTGTCAATGTGTCGTTTTCAATCTCACTCGTCAATTTTTCACAGGGTATCTAAAATACGTTATTTAGCAACCGACACCGAAGCCAGAGCCCAAGGAGGTAAAGCTTATTTAGGAACGAGCAACCGGCTAAGCCTATGAAGAGACAAAATGCGAATTCCCCTCATCTGTGCCATCTTGTATTCCATAGTTGAACTCAATTTAGTTACAATGAATTGAATCGAAAAAGAGAAAAAAAACAACAACAATAGCACGGCCACACAGAGCTGTACATCTATGCGTGCTGATGCATACATACACATATACGCTTTCTTCATTCTTTCATTCCATTGCTATACGTATCTCACTGGTCAACAGATCTATGTAGCCATGTTACTGTTGTTGTTTTTTCACTTTTTCATTTCAATGCTACAGAATTAAATTCAGTTTTTGCATCTAATTCACACTAAAATCAGATGGCGCTCATTAGCGAGATTCGCAAAAAAAAGTCTCCAATCTCATACAAATATACACCGGCTGGGAACGAGTGCATATTGTGGATACCCGAGTCCCCGAAAATAAAGACGAATATTCTTTATTCCCTCCAGAATATGTACATTTGTAAATTCGGTTCGATCGGTAGATTGTAATAAAACTAAGACGAAATAAAACAATTGCGTGATATCATTTCTCATGAATTTGTGTATGTTACATTAATTTAACGAGGAACAAAGTACATGTTTGTATTTCTCTGGTTTTTTTCTTCTTCTACAAATAATTTAGCATTCTTCATTTTTTTTATTTGTTTAAATTAGTTTATTGCACAGGTCAACCAAAAGGCTATATATAGACTAATTTAAGTGATACCAATAGAGAGTTGGTCATTTTCCATTTTTTCGGGAACAAAAACAAAAATTTGCATCAAGTATAAGTTCAGTGGTTATAGCCGAAAAAATTTTCATTTACTTTTATATTTTTATTTTTAAATAACACACCAAAAATGAAATCTCAAATTTTACAATCACTTCTGTTTGATTTTATTTTATTTATTTTTTTGAACTCTGTTTGTGTGCTCAACTACCCAATGTTATGTTGAAATTGAACCGATAAAATGAAGATAGGCGAATGTGTACACACGAACAATTTCACAATAATCATTAAAATATATATCACCATTGAGGATAATAGTAAGCTCGATGTGATTTTATTTCATTTAATTTGAAATAATCTCTTTTGTTTTACGTCGATTGTTCGATGTGACGATTTTCTCTTCATTTCATCGGTCAATTTTTCAAGCATCAGTTTTCTTTGCGAGTCAAAATTATCTTGGACGCCAAGTTCTAATTTGAATTTTAGCTTCAAACATTCAGCAATTTTTGCAACAGTTTTGTTTATGGCATTTATACAGTTGTCAAGAGATGAATTGTACTTCAAAACTTCAACCACTTCATCACTACTGCATGTGTCAATAATTTCTTGCTCATGATTTTTGAGCAAAGTGGTAACTAGCAAAGGTTGGGTAGGTTTTTTTTTCTACGTCGAAATTTCTCATCACTTTTCGGTTTGTTCATGGTCTTTCTCACAGAGTCACTATCACTACTGCATGTGTCAATAACTTTTTGCTCATGATTTTTGAGCAAAGTGGTAACTAGCAAAGGTTGGGTAGGTTTTTTTTTCTACGTCGAAATTTCTCATCACTTTTTGGTTTCTTCATGGTCTTTCTCACAGAGTCACTATCGGGCAAATTAGTAGGCAGATCTTCGTCTCGGCACACGTTCGACATCATAACGATGAAGAATATTCACATTAATTTTAACGATATTTGCTTTATTTTATTTAGTTTAAAGTAAAAAAGCATCACAAAATGTTCACATAACAAAAAAATTCGTTTATACTAGAGGTCTTACCCGACATTTTACACCAGCTATTGTCTACCTATAATCCATTCTTGAATGCACTGATGCTAGGTATGGAAACAATACAATCATTATGATGTTAATGACTTTCAGGATTTTTTGGGGAGACGTACATTTTAACAAAGAGCAATTCGTGTTATATTTGGATGTAATAAAAAATGAATAATGAAACCACAAAATTTATGTTTGTGTTTCTGTTCGTAAAAATAGAATGGTCAAATTTATTGAAAGTAATATTTTCAAATAAATTTACAAATGTTTTCACGCATCAAGTATATCACTTGAGTGGAAGCAGACATACACAAACACATTCAAAGTACATCAGATCAGACGTATTGTTGTCTCGTTCGGACATTACAGGAATTTTCTACAAGTCTAAACTATTTTCTTAAAAAAATCAATCTTAATTGATTCTTAGAATTCAAGCAAAATCATTTTAATCCTTAACTGCACCACTATAAGTAGATGCATTTTACATGAAGTAAAATCAGTTTAAACTTGGCATAAGTGTAAGATACATCAAAGAACTTCTGTGTTGGTCCAATAAAATGGCACAAGTTTATAATATTTTTTGGGTGAAATGTGTTCTAATTGTGTTATTTGGAGTGTTGATGCAGGAGAGCACATCATATGTGCTGATTGAAGGCGACAAAATGGACGAATCGTCTGTAAGGGGTGTTCAAACACCACAAATCAAAGATGTGCGTTCGAAGCGAGCGACAATGAATAAGCACAGGTTATGGAAATTTGGCGTTATCCCATATGAAATCGACGATGATTTGGGTTTCGATAGAATTACCAACATTAAGGCCGCAATGAAACACTGGGAAGTTGTTACATGTATCATTTTTGTTGAACGAGATCCAATTGAGCATGAGGACTACATACGATTTACACAAATTTTAGAATGTACTTGTTGTTCTGATGTTGGCAAAATGGGTGATCGTCAAGTTGTAGGGGTCACCAATTGCGGTGGCGTTGGTGGCATAATTCATGAGTTGGGGCATGTAATTGGATTTCATCATGAATATCAACGGCCTGATCGTGATGAGTATATTGTCATCATAAAAGAAAAACCCACCTACGAAGATTTTTTTTTCAACACGCCTACCAACAAATTGTCACCACGTGAGTTCGATACGCTTGGTGAACCATTCGATTTTGACTCGATTATGCATGAGTATATTGAAACATTTACCACTCGGCCGAAGAAAGGGAAAAATGGCATTGTGCCGAAAATGCATCGAAACGAACTATTGAGTGCAATTGACATCAGGAAAACGAAGAAATTGTATAAATGCCCTGAATGCGGAAGAACATATTTGGATAAAAAAGGTGAATTCACTTCGCCCCAATACTACAATAATTTAATAGATCGCAAATACTCTTGTGAATGGCGAATTAAAGCCATTAAAGAAGAACGGATTCTACTTAATATTACTGATTTAGATACATTCTTGTTCGACTCAAGTGATTGCGGAAACGATTATTTAGAAGTTTATGACGGTTATTGGCATAAGTCACCGCTTTTGGCACGTTTCTGTGGCGATAAAATCCCAGAAAATATTGTTTCGAGTGCAAATAACATGTTTATCAGATATGTTTCAAGTCACACAGAACATGAACATCGTGGTTTTGTTGCAAACTACGAAACTTTTTCGATTTGACCGGTTGTATCACCTGTTCTTTGTGTGTGTTATGTACAGGGCGAATCAAAATATTTTTTTAAAAAGCCAGAATATTTATTTAATATTTACGATAAAATAGTCGAAATATTTACGATAAATATTTACGATAGATCAAAAAAGGCTAGCAAATTCGAGTATTTTGTGATTTATTTTTAAATCTCTAGCAAAATCGATTAAGTAAGATTTATTGATTAAACTGATTGCAATGAATAAAAAAAATTGATTTTAACGGGTTTGTAATCAATGATAATGTGGCATTATTAATGACGTTTTTTTTCAAAGATTATAGTTTTCTAGCTTCAAAAACCATAACAAAATCGAATATTCATGCCATCAAAAAATGCTAGCAAATTTGAATAGTTGGTCAGCCTGAAAATCCCTAGCAAATTGCAATAATTTCCAAAATTTTGTCAAAATATTTATGAAAAACCGAAAACCGCGAAAAATTTATTTATCACGAAAAACGTTGAAAATATGTAAATAAATATTTTGATTCGCCCTGGTTATGTACATATCGTTTGCCGCTGTTTGTTTCTGTTTAGATTGTTTGTCCAACCGTGTATAATTTAATAAATTCCATTGTATATTGTCATATGTCAGTTAGCCAAATGGATGCGATGCACGTGTGCAACTAATGTGCACCTGCATCGCGCCAATTCATAAAATATACGTATATTAAAATGATGTGTTTAATTAAAATAATAACAAAATAACCAACATAGAAATTACCATATATAAGTGCTTTACAAATCAAATAAAGTCAGAGCTCATCAGTGTCTGGTGCCCAACAGATACAATTAATACTTAAAATGTTCAAGAACAGCCGATTATTTATTCTCATCATTGTACATTGTACAATCTTGAGTGCCACGATCGCCGCCAGCAGACGCAGACCAACAGATTCCTTTGGCGGCGCCAACCTGGACCAAATAAATAAACAACAAACCGACAATTTTGACCGTTTGCTGCACACCGACCAACTCTGCGGTTTATTCGAAGAAGATGTAGAAAATGATTGGTTCGATTGTAATTCAAAAATACATAACTTTGCATCTTAGAATTAGAATTTGATTTTTGTTTGAGATTTTTTCTCCCCATTTCGAAACAGTAAATGAATTATTGTGTAAAGAATAAAATAAACAAACAATTTTGCGCCTCCTTCTCAGACTTGTTTTACTTCTTGAATTTATATGAATTACTCTTTTATTTTGAACTTTACATGTTGGTGGTGTTGTAATGAAAACAAAAATAGTTTGTTTGTTTATTTGTTCGTTCTACTTTTCACATTTTGCTCGCATATCAGTATTGCGAACAAATAAAAAACAAAATAACGACAACAGCACAATCACAAAGCGATTGTGCAGTTTTCGTTATCGATCGATCGTTTTGCTTCGCTTTTTGTTAAAAAAAATATTGAATTGCGAGAAGTGCAAGTGGGCGCGCAGTCGAATGCATTTCGAGAGGTTTCAGGCATTGTCACATCGTTGGTGACACCATCGTCAACTTTATGATCACTTTTCGGTTTCTCTACTGCTTGAAGTGAAGCCTCATCTTTAATATACTTGTCGATAGCTTTGTTAAAAATCTCCTGTAATTTGATTTTCTGATAATTGTTCAGTCGATCAATTTTTAAATCTTTGCTAGAGAGGCAGTTCAAATAATTAGGTGCATGTCGCCAGCCCCACCCGGTAATAGTGCTGATAAACCAAAATATGTTTCTATTAGTGCTCGAATAGTGCTGTCGAGAACCGTTGGCCGTTTAAATAGAACTCAAATGGCCTTCGAGTTCTATTCGTTTAACCTCGAAATCCCCCTTTTTCCAGCACTTGTATGGAAAATTTCTTTAAATTTGATTTTTTTGTAAATATTTTTACAGCACCATTTAGCCCACTAATGGTGCCGGCGGAATATATATAGTTTCACTATGATTCAACATCAAACCGATTAGTTCTATTCGAAAAACTTCAAAAAAAGGGCACTTTTGTATGGAAACTATGTTCAAACTTGATTTTTTTTGGAAAAAAATTATATGGTCAATTAGTGCTCGAATAGTGCCGGCAGAAAATATATAGTTTTCCTATGTTTCAATTCCAAACAAAAATTTTCTTTTCACAAAAGTACGAAAAAAGGGCGATTTTTGCTATTTTTGTATGACAACTTTGCTCAAACATGATTTTTTTTGCCAATTAAAGCTCTAATATATAGGGGCAATGGGGGCAAAGTGATACACGGGGTAAACTGATACACCTCGAAAATTTAAAAAACCGCAACGCAAAATTTCGAACTGTTGTTGTATTCAAATCCTTATTCAATAGACACACACTTGGCAAACACACATTCAATATGTCCGATGGGAACTAGTATCGTATATTCCCCATACAAATTAATTTTATCGATTCTACGAATACGATATCTGTTAAAAAAGATACCGATTTTTGTTACTACTGTTGCTTTGACACAGCTCGAGCGAACTATACGGATATGGCTGTATTACAGACGATCTAATACAAAAGAACACACAGACTCCGATCCTCTGTATGCGTATGTATTGTAAATTTTGCACAAGCAGCTAAGCAGCTACGATTGATGACTGAGTGCAGAATTTGTAATACATACGCAAACACAGAACCGGAGTCAGTAACGTAATATTTTCAAAATTTGTAGCACTACAGTCGTCTATAAATATGTTGAAAATAGATCAAACCCTTTTTTGAAATAGTTGAAACCATATGTTGGATATGTCACTTCATTAAATAGGAAAAATGTCATAAATTGCATTCCTTTCAGTAGATTAGAATGTCAATCATACTAGATCTTATTGCAAATATATACTCATACTTGATATACTCATACTTGAACGTAATAAAATGTCCGGAATCTCATGAAGATATTTTCAGTGTAAAACTCTTTTGTTAATTATTTCATTGCTTTTGATGTATTATTATGAGTTGAAGATGAATTGTTTTCCAAATGTTGTAAAAAAAACATCAGAGAAAGACCCATCATCGAAGTGAACAATATGCACATTTGAAATGAAAAGACGAAGAGTACAAAGAAAAAAAAACAACAACAGATAAATGGGCTTAAACCACAAGGTAGCATTATGGCTCCAGAATGTCGGTTTTTTACTGCTTACTTCACAGATAATTCACATTTTACTCAAACCGAACTGTCCGGAACTCAAACATGTGTGATAGCAAACTTAATTTTTATTGAAATAAAGTTTTTTTTGAAAGCGGTTGCCTGAAATACATACCATCAAAATTATCTATTAATTTTTCTAAAAAGAACCGAAGGTATTGCCAACATTTCCCACATTCCACTTGATTCGTTTTGTTTCCTTTTCTCTCTCTCTCTCTATCTGTCTCTGAAAATCATGATTTTTTGTACTACATAAACTTTATGCTATGGCTTGAAATTTGTATGGTACTCCAGGTATTTGTACACGATAGCACACACTCTCGTATATGTTCAGTCATGAGAAAGGAAGACACATCTATTTACACATGTTATTTTCAATATACTAGAGTTATTCAACCCTACGGCGGCAGTCGCCGTTGCCATTTTTTTGTTGCTGATTTTCGCTGGGCATCGCAAATGCAGCATAAATAACAACAACAACAACAACAAAAATAACGCTTAACTTTTTGAAGCGTGTTCTATTCACAATTCAAGATTGATGTGCATGTTCATGTTAACGGAATAGATTCCATCAACAAATGTTCACGTCAAATTCATGCATGTCAGGGGATTTTTTATATTCTATCGACGCGAGACATTACGTTGAAATGGGTTTTCGCAGTAGGCAGCAAGAATAGGGTATACCGACTAAAAAAAAGACACACATACACACTTCAATGGGGTGGCGGGGGAGATAGAGAGAGAGAGAGAGAGATTGATTCAAAAATTTCAATTGCATACATTTTAACTATAGTTTGAAACTTTTCTACAATCAATATCATATTTACATTGCGTATTTTGGGCGTGAGTGTATAGTAGTCGGTATGTCGCCAATATTTCATACGATTTTGTTATTTTAATCAAATTGTCATGATTTATACCGCGACGAAAAGTCAACTTTCTCCAATAAATAATATAGTTCAGTAACAGAATTTTGCCCACACAGTTCCTGCACCAATCTTTCTCTTTCTCTCTCCATCTGCGAATCCAAATCCACACAAATATAGAGTAGACAAGACTTCAATGGAACTCATTTGAATTCTATTTACAAAACATTACAAAATATGAAGAATTGCAACGAGGAAATGAATAGTTTGCATAGCATGTTATGCGGTTAGCTGCTGAACATTGTCATGGTAATGAAACTACATATTTTCACCATCTGCCGTCCGAAATGAATCGAAGTGAATGATGTAAGTTCATTTAGAAGCAAAATACATGTCTCAGCCCATACCAACCAACAAATTTTAGTTTTGTTTTTTTGTTTTTTTTTTTTTTTGTTTGTGTGCGATGGTTATGTTCTTGTAATAGGAACCAAAAACGTAAAATAAACCATAAAATTCATGAATTCATTCCACTGGAACTGAATATATCGAATTCGATCGCATAATAATTCGATTGATAATACTGTTATTCCTTTTTCTTCATTTAAGTCGTTTTTAAACGTAGTTACCATCAGCTGCAGTCGAACAACACGCTATTGGCATGGTCATGAACAATATGTGCGTGCAATATGTTCTACGAAATCGTATTCCATCGAAAATACATCTGAAGAGCAGTTACAAAGAAAATCTATATATGCTATAAGAATGAAGAAAACAAAAGCAAAAAAACGCACATACAGAGAAAAAGAGAGAGAGAGAAAAAGAAAGGAAAAAAGAAACCATTCGCCAACTATAAAAGAGTCTATAATAAATTATTGTAAAAGCAAAATGAGAGAGTATGTTGCACGGCCAAGGCAATGGATACGATATATATGTTGCAATCTACAACAAAAC